GGTTTTTCTCGCCAGAATGTAGAACCTTACTTCTTTCACCACTGAATTTCATTTTGTTAGATAGCGCCCAGTGTTCAAGTCTGTCCAGATCCTCCTGTATCCTAAGCCTGTCTTCTGGAGTGTTGGCTATTCCTGCCAGCTTGGTGTCGTCTGCAAATTTGTAATTTGACCCGATAGTTTAAAAGCCATTGTTCTGATGCTATTAAGAAGCTTCTTACCAAAACTAGCCTGTACCAAAATGCTGTGCAGTCTATAGCCTTTGCAGTTGATATGCTGAAGACTAAAGCATCACTGTACGTTAGGGAATGTATGGGTCTCTCATTCAGAGATGGTTAAATATATCTCTTATATTTATAATTCTGCAAATGTTAACATTCTGGCTAGGGCAGAGGTCCCCAACCTTTTGGGCACCAAGGACCGGTTCCGTGGAGAGAGGTTTTTCCACGGACCAGATGATGCGTGGTTTTGTGTGCTATCTACATCCCACAGGTGAGGTTTTGCTTCTTTGTGCAGACTGGTTGTTGGCATGCCGCGGCCCGGTACTGGTCCACGGACCGGGGGTTGGGGACCCCTGGTCTAGGGGGCACTTAAACCAGTGGCCCTCAACCTTTGCGGCTTGGCTGGGGGGGGGAAGAGGGGAACTGGGCTGAGCAAGTGACGAACCGGCATGTGCACACACAGCCCTTGCACAAGTGGTGGGCTGGCACTCATGCATGCAGCTCAACTTGCGCAAACAGTGAGCCAGTGCACATGCGCACGAATGGCCACCACACAAGTTGAGCTGCACTTGCATGCACACGCTCCAGCCAGCCACTTGTGTGGCCCAATTCCAAATAGGCCACAGCCTGGTAGTGGGCCGTGGCTTGAGGGGGTTGGGGAGCCTGGCTTAAACAACAAAGCACCAATAGGAAGTTGGATCAACCAATCAGCGTGCAGAATGTGTACTTCCACACCATGCATAGTTGAGATTTGGGAGGCATGCATTTCAACCTGTCTATAATAATCTGCAACCTATGCTTACTCCTCAACTCTTTGCAGAATGGGTGTGTGTCGACACCTACGCGCAGTTGCAGACAAGTCTAAATTAAGTTTTGCTCATCTTGGCTACTCTGGCTAGAATGGAAAAACAACACTTGGGTGATTCTATCTTACACATTACAGATTGTGGCACTGAGTGACAAATTCAGTTGTTAAGATCTAAATAAACTTGATTTCAAATTGAAGTTCTTTGTGCCCCACTCCTGGTATTTCTGATATGCTAATTAGTAGTAGAGGATACGTTCATATAAAAATTCAAGGGAACTTCCATGGACTGTCTTCAATAATTTAATCTCCAGGGTAAATATTAATGCTGTGGGTCTGATTTAGGAAGCAGGTCTTCTCTCCTGGGAACTAAGATGAATGAATTCTTTCCATTCACAAAGAGATTAGGGTAAAATGGGATTCCTTGCAGATTAGAGAAAGTGGAAGACCTTTGAATCTTCCCCTAATATTTCTACAGAATGGACACAACATCGGTTGCAATTTATTCTAGGGCTGTTTTAAGTGTGCCCATCTTCAAGCCAGTGTTGACACCTGGCAACTGCGTATACCAGCCCCTGAAGTTTTCTTGGCAAGATTTCAGAAATAGTTTGCCATTGCCTTCTACTTAAGGTTGAGCGAGGGAGCTGGCTTTGTGCCTAAGGGGGGGGGGATAGAACTTAGGGTCTCCTATTTTCTAACCTGGTTCTTAACCACTACACCAAACTGGCTCTCTTTAAGTCTTACGATTCCCCTCAAGATGTTAGATTCATCCAAAACTGTCCTTCCTTTACAACAGGGGTCTTCAAACTTGGCCCTTTTATGACTTGTGGACTTCAACTCCCAGAATTCCTCAGCCAGCGTGCCTGGCTGAGGAATTCTGGGAGTTGAAGTCCACAAGTCACAAAAGGGCCAAGTTTGAAGACCCCTGCTTTACAATATATGGAAATGGATTTAGCTCTTCATCGCTTTCATTGCCATTCTTCTATCAGATTCACATCAATGTCACTCTCGTTTCTATCCTTGTTTGTGTATCAAACAGCAACAAAAAATAGGGTGTGCTGAGACAACAGAAACCTTTGTACTGACATGCACTGGGCTTGAAAAAAAAATCCATGCATACAATCACACTAGAGATAAGCCTAATAGCAGGCCCAAACCGGAATGCAGAGAAAATGCAGGTGAGTCAATTGCAATATGTAAAATGACTCAAGCAGTAAATACAAAACTTAATTTTGGATTATACTCTGTCAGTAAACAAAGTTTAGTTTTAAAAAGCCTTCCAAAATGGAATGGATCATTACTTTAGCTGCCCCTAAAGGTGAATTTATATTCTTACAAGAGGAAAAAAAGCAGCAAGGAAGAGCATTTAGAATAGAATAGAGCTGGAAGGGACCTTGGAGGTCTTCTAGATCAACCCCCTGCTCAAGCAGGAGAACCTATACCAGAGATGGCAAACATTTTAGAGACCGAGTGCCCAAAAACTGGCCCCGCCCCTGCTCCGTCCCCACCCTGCCTGCCCGCAGGGCCGCTCATCGCCTCCAGGGCCCGTCGCAGATCGCCCAGCAGCACCATGGCGGCCATGCCCTCTGCACACACCCCGCAGCATCAACTGCGCAATGGGGCATGAGGGCAGAGTCTTGTCTATGCTGTCTGGCTGCCATGTCCTTGGCTGCACTGCTCTGCGTGGGCCACGCTCGGGGGGGGCGGCACTCCTCAAGGGGGGGTGCTGGTGAGGAGGGGGGAGGCAAGGCTGGGGCAACAGCACGTGTGCCCACAGAGAGGGCTCCGAGTGCCGCCTCTGGCACCAGTGCCATAGGTTCACCACCCCTGACCTATACTATTTCAGACAAATGGTTGTCCAGTCTCTTCTTAAAAACTTCCAGTGTTGGAGCATTCACAGTTTCTGGAGACAGGTTGTTCCACTGATTAGTTGTTCTGTCAGGAAATTTCTCAATTCTAGATTGCTTCTCTCCTTGATTGGTTTCCATTCATTGCTTCTTGTCTTGCCTTCAGGTGCTTTGGAGAATAGCTTGACTCCCTCTTCTCTGTAGTAACCCTTGAGATATTGGAACACTGCTATTATGTCACCCATAGTCCTTCTCTTCATTAAACTAGACATACCCAATTCCAACAACTGTTTCTTCATGTTTTAGCCTCCAGTCTCCTAATTATCTTTGTTGCTCTTCTCTGTACTCTTTCTAGGGTCTCAACATCTTTTTTACATCATGGTGACAAAAACTGGATGCAGTATTACCAAAACATTGTAAAGTGATATTAACACTTCATGCGATCTTGATTCTATCCCTCTGTTAATGCAGCCTAGCACTATGTTGGCTTTTTTGGCAGCTGCAGCACACTGTTGGCTCATATTTAAGTGATTGTCCACTTGGACTCCGAGATCCCTCTCACAGTTATAACCATTGAGCAAGGTACCACCTATAGTATTCCTGTGTATTTGTTTTTTCTTGCCTAAATGTAGAACCTTATTTTTTTCACCATTGAATTTCATTTTGTTAGATAGCGCCCAACGTTCAAGTCTGTCAAGATCCTTCTGTATTTTAAGCCTATTTAATTGAGTGGTTCTTGCATGCTCTAAATCTTTCTTCAGCAGTCCGTAATTTCATAAAGTATGACATCCACTGCCCTCGAGAAAATGCTGTTTATTTTCTTAACAATTGAATTTCTGTGCTGTCTTCATCTCAATGTCCTGCAGCAAGTTCAAAACTTACATGTATTTTAAGAAACCACTACAATGCGTAATAAAAATAGCTGGGGGTGCAGGGATTGCCAAAGATAGCAGAGTTCTAGAAATCTGAAAGAAAACAGTTCATGTTTCTCAACGTTGGCAGTTTGGAAATGTGCGGCCTTCAACTCCCAGAATTCTCCAGCCAGCACAGCTAGCTGGGGAATTCTGGGAGCTGAAGGCCACACATCTTCAAGTTGCAGAGGTTGAGAAACACTGTTTTAGGACCTAGTCTGCTGTTCCTTCAGTCAAAACTTTATTCTGTTCCATTCACTCATCTCCATTCCTAAGGCTGTTCCCATACATAACATATTCCTTCCTGCACATTGCATAATTTGTTGATAAATGTTCCATTACTAAGCCATTAAGTGTGCTCCATTCTCCAATTTTGCAGTATGTTTGCCTTCCATGTTCACACACCTTACGGGAGGAAAATTATATGGGGCTGTTCTAGAAGTCTTCTGCAAATCCTGGGACTTGCACAGAATTTGCATGATCAATCAATCATTACTTCATTTATTAAATTTATCTGCCCCTTCCCCACCTCACCACAAGGTGACTGTGGGTGGCTTACAATGCCCCTTTTTGCATTGCTGGTACTAACTTTGCCTACGCGATAATCACATTTCTGGAAACAGAGGCAATATATTGCTATAAATGATGTCTTCAAAAGCTTGGCATATCCAAAAGGCCATTCCTTTCTGCACAGAACACAGTGAATTTGGGTTTGGTAACTTTTCTTGGGCCGAGCCTCCTGAAGATTAAGGGGGAAAATCCCCATTTTGGGTCCTGCATCATTTCAGCTAAGGGACTACGGTTTTGTTAATGTTTCTGCAGGAGAAGAGGGGTGTCTTTAAAGCTACCATTTGTGAATATCCATATATTTCAATGAATCCTTAATTCTTTGAACCCGTTTGGTAGACTTCAGATGCAATATTGCTTTAAGTCAGTGTTGACTACTGGAGATTGCCTGGAAAAGTCCCTGAGGTTTTCTTGACAAGATTTTGGAAATGACTTTGCCATTGCCTTCTTCCTAGGGCTGAGGATGGAGGGACTGGCCCAAGGTCAGCCAGCGCACTTCATGCCTAATACAAACCTAGAACTGATGGTTTTCTGCTTTTTACCCCGGTATCTTTAACCACTACACCAAACTGGCTCTCTCTCATGTCATTTAGAAAATAGTTACAGCGGCTTGTTCTCCCACACCTTGGAGACAGGGCAATTGTGAAGGACACAGGCATTATGGTTGATTTATTGTTGGTATTTTGTTATTCTGGCTGGTTGGGTTTTCATACATATAACTGTCTTTTTATTTGTAACCCACCCACAGACAGACTTTGGAGCCAGAAATCAGAAAACTACAAACTGCCAGAAAGAATACAGTATATGATACCAAAATATACATAGCAGCAATACATGAACAGTATATCTAGCACTTTACATACATTATTTGGCTCAATGCAGTAAGTAATCCTGGGTATTTGCTCAATATTCTCCTCACCTAATCTACACTTTTGGGGTGAGGAGCTGAACTTGATGCAGGCAATTGTAGTGGGCCTCCTAAGAGGCAAATGGCATGACCATGCCATGATGTCATCATGCAAATTGCATTAATTATCCAAGTAGCATCATTTGTATGATGACATCATGGCAAGTGTGACCTCATGCTGGCAACTATCCGTGATCAAGCCCGAGGTTTGTTTGGCTTACATGAACCCAGACACTGTAATCTGAAAAACCATACTTTAGGGGCTTAGTCTGTCATGTGAAACAAGGTAATTGTGGCTTATTCAATTAACCAGTTAAACAACCAGAATGTGTGAATCCCATTTATGTCCAATGTGAGATGAAGGACTAAATGAAGGACTAAGTCAATCTTGTTGCACTTCTTCGTTTTAGAAATGTATTTTCTCTTCAGCAAACTTTAGTTGATGGGTTCCTAAAATACTGCCCTAATTTACTATCCCTGTTACTTGCCTTGAAGATAATGAAGCAAGCATAATGTACAGATCATGAGTTATATTAGTAGCCATGGCTCAGTAACTGGGATGTTAAGCAGATGGCCTTCTCCCTAATCACACTTATATTTTAAGCATTATTAAATTTGGGGTTAGTGAATTCAAACTTGTACTAACATTGTACTAAGGTAAACTTGACCTACAAAACCATTAAAATCTTTGAAAAACCATTCGCACCCACAGGAAAATCCTTTCCATATTCTAAAACTCGACCTTCTCCATCCCAATGTCCTCCAGAGGATTGAATTACAACATCCAAAATTTCTACCCAGCACAGTGGAGGATTATTCTGGTTGAAAGTGAGGGCAACTGCAATCCAGCACAACTAGAGGTTGTTGGGTTATCCAGAGAACCAAAAGATTTGGGCAACCACTGCTTGCTAAGAACAATGCAATATTCACATTTTAAATGTTTTAGTCAACAGGATCTCAGATCCAGTGTGTTCCATGTTTTTCAAAAGGCTGGACACAAGCTAGGAAGCCAATAAGTTCAACAGCTCCACAAGTTCAACGTTTTACAATAAGTGCAATTTTAATTCGCCATTAAATTCCCATTTCAGGTTTACGTAGCTCACCCATGTTACCAGAACATCGGTTCATCACTGGAAATGTCACCACAATAAATACATTTAAGAATAGCTGAAGATAAGCAATATAGAGGACAAGTATTGCTTTGGAAGATAATCTCTGGAGTCAATCTTAAAAAACAGTCGTGGGAAGAATCTTCTTAGCTAGGAAAGACACAACATGGTTTAGGCCCTTCACCAAACTTGTGGTAGCATCAATGACCAATAAGAATAAGCCCCCAATGCCTGAAGCAATATCTTTGAGCACACCCGGAATGGCACCCAAAGTGTAAAAAGGGAAAGACACAATATCCAGGATCAGATTAATGGGGACGCTAAGAATCCTGTAGGTCACCATGAGAACATTGTAGATGTTCTTCGCAATACCATTCAAGATGCTGACACCCACTTGGGCCAGGCAGATAAAGATATCCAGCAGGGCGGCGGTTATCCCTTTGATGAAGGTGCACACTGCGCTGAAAATCTTCTGGACGATGAACTTTACCAAACACCACACACATTTCACAAGCTGGCAAACCAGATACCACACAAACTGAAGCAGTTTCAAGATAGGGCTAACAACAAAATGAAAAAAGTTCTTCAGAAAGCCACTCTGCTCCTTGGCGGTCTGGGTGTGCTTATTTTGAGTGGGCTTTTTCACACATGTTGGTTTCTTCCCCTGGACTTCCTTCACCGAGTGCAACACGGCCTTCAGCTTCTTAGGATCCTGTCGATCGTGGCCACAGTGGTTCTTAAACAGCTCGGCTCCTGCAGGAAGCTTCTTCTCGAGAGCTTCTACCGTTAGGTCTTCCAGACGACTCTCAACATCGGCTTCTTTAATAAATCCCACCGACCAGGACTCGGCACCATTGTCACAGCAAGCTGCCAGCCAGACAAATTTGGGGACCGCAATTTTGTCCTTTACCTTAAGAGAGGAAGGCATTGCTCCGGAGAGGAGATGAAGATCTTTCCCATTTTGACAGTGAGGAGCCAAACTGTGGCTGACGAGCTGCTCTACTTCCCAGTGCCAAAGGTCCTGGAAAGGAGGGGAGAGCGGCACTGCGTTGGTCAGTGTGTGGGTGGCAACGTGATGATCGTCCTTATGAAGAGAGCTGGGGTTTAGGCGCCCCCTCTCATAGCCAGAGTCTACATAATCTGCCATGAGGGCCTGGTTTTTACCCAGATGTTCCACCGACTCTGCAATCTCAGCTTCCGGCATCATTTCTGCCTCATTATTTCCAGGGTCATCAATCTGAAAAAAGGAATAAGAGCAATTGCTGAATTCAGAACTCGTATTTGCAATCTGAGCCATTTCCCGTAAGGTACTAATGCATCCATTAAGGCCAATAAATGGTTGGAAAGAATATTTTGGAAATCTGCAGTGATGATGCTACCAAAGTGGATAATGAAACATCTGAGAGCCAGTTTGGTTCAATGATTAAGGCGCCAAGCTAGAAACCAGGAGACTGTGAGTTCTAGTCCTGGTTAAGGCATGAAAGTTGGCTGGGGTGATTTTGGCCCAATCACCAGGAGACTGTGAGTTCTAGTCCTGACTTAGGCATCAAAGCCAGGCAGGTGACTTTGGGCCAGTCAATCTCTCTCTCTCAGCCCAACTCACCTCACAGGGTTATTATTGTAGGGAAAATAGGAGGAGGAGGAAGTTTTAGGCATATTTGCTGCCTTGAGTTATTTATAAAACTAATAAAGGCAGAATATAAAAAAAAATAAACCTGCAAGCAAACAGCAGAGCTTAAAGAGCATCAAAAACGCCATAATTTTGGAAATCATAAACCATTTCCAATATTTTGGTGACGGTTGTTTTAAGACAATCCTGGTATTGCCCGTTTAAATTTGGAAAATTGATTTTTTTTATAACAAAGCCTGTGTCCAGAGTTAGAGCTTGAAATTATGCATAATTTTAAATGCTCAAAAATGCAAATTACAAAACATACGCTGCAACTGTTGAAATCTAGAACTAATAGTTAACAATAGGGACAACTGAAATTTCTGATTTTGTATTTGTTTTGGTACTATTCATTGGTCATGGAGCAATACATTCATGGACATCTTGGGAAAAAGTAAACTGGAAAGATTTTGAGGCAATCCAAGAGACGTTAGTACAGTGTTTCTCAACCTTGACAATTTTAAGGCATGTGGACTTCAATTCCCAGAATTCCACAGCCAGCAATGCTGGCTGTGGAATTCTGGGAGTTGAAGTCCACATGCCTTAAAATTGTCAAGGTTGAGAAACACTGGGTTAGTATATACTTAAGTTATTTTTAAAGGTCATGTTAGTAATCTCATGACATAGTTTATATATGATTAATATAACCATGATTTATGGAATTACTCCAGAAGGAGGCTGGCTTTGTACATGCAGAAACCTTACATTGATTGATTCTTCAGTCATGAAGATATATAAACCACCTGGATCAGCCTTACACATAGACCTGCCTTCTGGTTTCAGATTTTTGCAGCCTTGTGTTATGAACCGGTTCTTCTGACTCCTATTCCATAGTCAGAAGAGTTTACATTCTGTAACAGGGTTTTATGCCAATTTCTGATTCACAGAGTCTAACATTCCTTCTCCAAAGCAAGAATGAATTCTATGCCTTTGGTAACATCCTGACATTCCTCACCTTTTGTGAATCAGAAGCACATAATCAGAAGAGTTTACATTCTGTAACCCTCCAGGATACCTCAAGTAAAAAGCCTAGAAGTCTTTACCACCCTACGAAGGATAACATTAAACAAAAATGGAAATTCCCACGACATTCTTGGGAAATTAATAAGGACTACATAATACAGGAATGTGTTGGCCATTGATAGCTCAGTGGGATTCCATTAAATCGGGGGTCTTCAAACTTCATCTTCCTCCATTCATGTGAACAACAGTACACTAATACAACAGATAAAAGTGCTAAGCCCAAAATGAGGGTTGCACTTTGGGGGTTAAGTGTCACACGTGAGTGTATCATTTCAACTGGCTGTGCCTAACTGTTGTCAGTAGCAGTCAACTATTGTGCAACATTGCTCAGTGCAATTGTTTCACACATTCATCTACGGGTGTATTTTTAATGTGAGTTATGAACTACTGCCTGGAGTTTGTCTATGTCAGACGTGTCAAACACAAGGCCCGGGGGCGGCCCGCGAAGTGGTTTCATGTGGCCTGCGAAGCCATCCTGGAAACAGTGAGGGAATGGCCCCTACTGCCTTGGCCCTGGACCAGGCCGTCCGGAGCCAATGTACAATTTTGTGGTGGCCATCTATGCTGAAACGCATTCAGTCTTAGCTCCATAACCCCCCCCCCCCCCGCATGGCCTGAGAGGAACAGTGAGGCTCCTCCAGTGGACCATGCCTTGGCACTTGCCCTGGTCCCACCCCTTCTGCCAGAGACCCTCAGATCTGTCCCACTCCTGCCCCCACAGGCATCATTGACCCAAACGATGTAGAACTGGCCACACCCACCCAGTAGGCCACACCCACTCCATCCACGCCCACCCAGTAGGCTGCACCCACCCTGGCCACACCCACCCGGCCCCCTGAGGGCAACCACAATGCTGATGCGGTCCTCAATGAAATTGAGGCCCTGGTCTATGTGATGCCCTATTCAGTTTCGACTTACAAGCTATTTGTTCAAAGTTACAAAAGCACTGAAAAAAGTGATTTATAGCTGATCCTTGCACTTATGACCATGACAGCATGCCTGTGGTCACAGGATCAAAATCAGGCATTTGGTAACCAGGATATATTTATGAAGGTTGCAACATCCAGGTGTTACATGATCGCCATTTACAACATTCCCTGCCAAGCAAAATCAGTGGGGAAGCTGGATTCGCCGAATGGCCATGTGATTCACTTAACAACTACAGTGATTCATTTAATAGCCATGGCAAAAACATTGTTAAAAACAACTGTCTTGCTTGGCAAGAGGAATTCCTGTCTCAATTGTGGCCATAAAGAAAAGAGGACTACCTGTATTTGAATAGCTTTTGATTTTGCAAAATGCAAAAGTGAGTTAGGCCTCTGCCATTATATGAGTCATAGGCATTTTTGTTTCTCCCAGGCCAAATGAAAAAGAAGCAGCGCAAAAGAGCACAAAAGAGCTTGACCACTGAAAATATGCTACAGAAATAGTAACAAATCTTTCTCCTGAGGCATGTTGCTGAAATATATCTTACTACCCAACATTATCTTTGCAAGATCTCTTCCAGACATCCTTTCCCTCCTAACTACTGGGTGGCATGTCCTACAACCAGACAGTACAGTCGATTAAAAACTCGATACAACCAGACAATACAATCAATTAAAAACTCTATTCATACATTTTAAGCTTGAATAGAATGAATCTAATTCTTACTAGGATTCTTAGTATCATGCAATTTAGCTTGCTGGCTAATGTGAGGTTGGATTCAGTGTGTTGCACAAATCCAAGAAATGAGTTAATTTAGCAAACTGTTGTATGAAGGAGGTCTACTGTGATTCCTGTGCATTCTCCTATACAAGCTAGACCAGCAATAACGTAAAGTGCAGCCTGGGGATGATGAATGCTTTAGTCCAATTATCTAGAATGAAGAACGGAGGCTACTGTAGACATTGCCTGAGCATTTGTATAGCTGTCTCACTGAGGTCACAGGGGAATTCGGAGGAAATATTAATTTGTCGCTTAATGTTTTGCCATCTCAGAATGATGATGATGCTCTCCTGGGCCTTTGTCTGAAACCCAAACACCCCGCCTATTGTCATGTCCCATCAGGAAAAGCAGTGTTAATATCACTTTACAATGCCTTGGTAGGGCCACACTTGGAATACTGCATCCAGTTTTGGTCACCATGATGTAAAAAAGATGTTGAGACTCTAGAAAGAGTACAGAGAAGAGCAACAAAGATGACTAGAGGTCTGAAGGTTAAAACATACAAGGAATGGTTGCTGAAATTGTTTATGTCTAGTTTAATGAAGAGAAGGACAAGGGGGGACATGATAGCAGTGTTCCAATATCTCAGGGGCTGCCACAAAGAAGAGGGTGTCAAGCTATTTTCCAAGGTGCCTGAAGGCAGGATAAGAAGCAACGGATGGAAACTGACCAAAGAGAGAAGCAACCTGCCATTTCTATGTTCTCTTTTTACACAATATCCTGCAGTGACAGGGAAGAGAGTGTCAGATTAAGGGAATAAGAATCACAACTCTTAACTTCTTTCCTTAATGTCCTGTTGATAACACACTCATCCTGACACAAGAGGTTCTGCTGTTCTAATCTATAATACTCTTGCAACTAATGTGGGTTTTTTTGGGTGTATGTGTGTGTTGTCCATGTGACTTATGATTTTCAGTTACTTCCTGAACAAGTCCCTGCAGTTTTCGGCAGCATATATACTAAAATTGGAAAGATACCGGAAAAGCATACGCAGCTAAGGCAGTGAACATAGCCTGGCATTAGCTGGTTCTCCAAACAGGCTTCTGAGACTAATTGGCTCCCTGGACACACAATGCTTGCCTTTAAAGTGCCCTGTTGTAAGCCAACTGAGTCGTCACAATGGGATACATTTGTTGGAGGGACTCTCCCCCCCCCCTTGCCTTTTCCCTTCCCTATTCATCTTGCAGTCAAATATCCTTCTGTTTTGAGAAGAAGCTTCTTTGCAGACCACCCTGGCCAGGGCAGAGGTTAATACAATCCTGGCCTCCTTCAGAGGAAACATGGGAACAAACAGCTTATCAGGTCCTTAGAGAGATCATAAATAGCCTGCGAAAATTTAGGAAGGAAAATAAGCATACATGCCCTCTGCTTTCTTCTCAATATAATAGATAAGAGGCAGGACAGTACTGGGGAGGACATCATGGTCCATCATGATGTAAAAACTACCAGATTCCATCAGTTTTATTAAAATGATGGGGATTACATCAGAAGCTTCTGCAGCCACGTTAAGTGTTCTGGGATAGGGACAAACAAAACAAAATGAGATTTTATTTTAACTTTACAGCAAAGAGACATCTCGGGGGGATTTTAATTAAATTACAGTACCCGCATGGGATTATCCTAAGAAAATGGCACCCATGGAAAGCTGGTCTTACATTCATGGCAATCACAACTCAGATCCTGTCAAAAACACCCTCTCTGGATTTTTATCGATGGGGAACACCTCTCTTCCCAATTGTTAGGCAGCATTATCCTTTCTCTTCTTTGTTACAATCCAGAGGTTCCTTTTGGGCACCAGGGACCGGTTCCGTGGAGAGAGGTTTTTCCGCAGACCGGAGGCTGCATGGTTTTGTGTGCTGCCTGCATCCCACAGATGGGGCTTTGCTTGTTATGCAGACCGGTTGCTGGCATGCCACGGCCCGATATTGGTCCACAGCCCGGGGGTTGGGGACCCATTACAATCCATGCAATGCTTTCCTTTAAAAAGGTAAACTTTTCCATTCTGTCCAGTCATGTCTGACTCTAGGAGGCGGTGCTAATCTCTGTTTCTCAGCTGAGGGAACCAGTGTTCAAAGATGCTTCCATGGTCATGTGGCTGGCATGATCATATGCCGAGGCGCACTGAATGCTGCTACCAAAGCGGTACCTATTTATCTACTTGCATTTGCTTTCAAACTGCCAGGCTGGCCGGAGTTTTCCTTTACATACTTTCTGACACTAACAAAATAAACAGGTAGCACATTTTGTTAGTGTCAGAAATGCCCCCAGGCTTGACCTCACTTTGCACAAAATCCCTTCCAGTGATCTCTTGATCTTATCCTAGTTACTCCACCACTCTGCCCAATGATCTCCTACACAATTTCTTTAGGCCAGGCTGGTCATAAACAAAATTCTTATCCCCTTGGCTGATGGAGCATGTCTACAGTCATAGCGCTATCACTATCACCACCTGTCTCCTCTCCCTAGATCAGTGGTTCTCAACCTTTCTAATGCCGTGACCCCATAATACAGTTCCCCATGTTGTGGTAACCCCCAACCACTTATATATCACTGGGTGCCAAGGGCATGGCCAAAGAAAAGGGGAAAAAATGGCGGACAGCCTTGTTTGGCGACCCCCGTGAAATGGTCATTTGACCCCAAATGGGGTCCCGACCCACAGGTTGAGAACCACTGCCCTAGATAGTGATGGCCCAGATACAGACCCAACAATCCCACTTTCATGTTGCCAATAATTAGGGATATAGACTGAAGGCAGAAAGTAAACCCTACCTGCCTAAAATAATAGCTCCCCATTGCAATCCAGAAAAGTGTTTGTAATTAAGTGTTTACAGGAGTTGCTAATTGCACTGTTAAATTAACATCTAGCCACCCCTCAGTGATGAAGTCAAAGTGGAAAAGAGGCCAGCTTGCTACTAAAAGATGCACTTCGTGTGTAAAACTTCCAAGCGGTGGCTTCCCTGGGTAAAATAAAATCTCAAACGGCAACAAAATGGGACAATCTTGGAATTGTTCTGGGAGACCTTAGATGGCCAAACAGTCCTAAACAAGTTGAATTCCAAGATCAGGTTCAACACATGCGGCGCCTCATATTTCTCTGAAAAAGTTTTCATCAAAAGGAATGGTCAGCCTCTCTCTGTCATATCTGACAGTTTTTAGCCTGTGGTATAGCCAATATCTTGGAAAAGTTAACCAGCACTACATGGGAGGGAAAAGCAGAAATGTTAAATTCTGTGCCAAAACCACTGGCTGACCTTCTCCCTTCTGCTGCAGTTGGGAAATATGGAAAGAAAGAGAAGAGGATGACCAGCAGCAAGGTGGACGGACTGAGTTACAGTGGTGATGAGTGCGCCATTGAAAGACCAGGTTAGGGACAGATCGCCATGGCGAAAGCCTCTCTAGGTGGTCACTAAGAGTCAACACCAGTGATGGCGAACCTTTTAGAGACCGAGTGTCCAAACTTCAACCCAAAACCCACTTATGCATCGTCGGGTGCCGGGTGGGTGTGGCCTATTGGGTGGGCGTGGCTACGGTGGTAACAGCAGATTGGGTGGGACTAAAAAGTTCAATCAATCAATTCCAACTTTGCAAGATCTTCTTTTTTCCCACAAGAAGTTGAAATTGACTGATTGATTGAACCTTTTTTTTGTACATGGCAGCGGAGGCCTAAAGCGAAAAGGTTTTATAAAACCCAGCTGAAGGCCTAGGACTGGGGTGACGGCATGCGTGCCCACAGAGAGGGCTCTGAGTGCCACCTTTGGCACCCGTGCCATAGGTTCACCACTACTGGACTACACCAACTTGATGGCACATAATCAATCGATCCTTAGCCAGAGGTTTTCTGGGCATTGGATTAAAACTACCATCATCCTTTGCTGGCAAGGGCAAACCCTAAAGGGAATCACGTTTGGAGAAATCTGAACCTCAGATTCATTCTTCTTCAATCCGTTTGCCTTCCCCAAACTGACAGCGCACACCCATTTTATGTCTTGCTTTTCCTCAAGGGGGTCTAGCCTGTTCCATTTGTGGAATGCAATAGAGCCACTCCTTCACCTGCATACCTGTTTTAAAAGAGACAATTAGCAAATTGCAGAAAAGGATTAGCGTTGAATTTCCTAATGTTCCCTTCACATTTCCTTTCCTTAAGTCAAGTACCTGCATGCAGAAACATTCAGTCCTATCAGATACTGTCAGCCTTATCAGGTAGATCAGATAGAAACCATATCAGCTAATTCTATTTTACTGTAAAACAACAATAAAAGTTTGCAAGTCTGAAGGTACAATTCTCCTGCAGTCTCCTTTACAATCCAAGAAACTAGGCAGGGCCTTTTTTTAATCTCTTGCCCTTTCCATTTCACAACTGTGGGCTATGCCATCTCTTATCTAGTCAGCGTCTCTTTGTTTTGTCTCCCAAGGTCTTTCCCACATACCACTATGGATACTTCTGTAGTGACTCTATTGATACAGCTTCTTCTCTACCAGGCTCTAAGTTCACCTTTGCTTTACCGCACTTGGATTATGGCCAGATACTGGATACGAGCTTTCTTTTCAAGGAAAAACTTTGTAACTCATTATATTTATGCTTAGGGACATAAAACTACAGATTCTACATTGAGAACTGGGTATAGGGAACAGACATGATAAGTGAATGCTCTTGAAGCTAAATCTGTATTTCAAAAAAGACTTCAGCTTGCATCAAATGATTAAAAAAAACTCACCAATTAAAGGTAAAAGCTATTGATTTTTTTTTTAAGGGCCTTCAAATCAATGTTCTCCTGCCAACTGCCCAGACAAGTCTGTTTTTTTGATAAGATTTCACAACTGCTTGTCTTCCTTCTAGATTTGAGAGAGAGACTTGTCCAAGGTCACACACTGGCTTTTTGCCTAAGATAGGACTAGAATCCACCGTCTCTCAGTCTCTATTCTGATGAGTTAGGATTTCTTTTTAATTAAGACAGAAAAAATGACCCTTTTATCATCCTTTCAGAATTCTAGAATGGATGTTATCTTTTTATTTGAAATCCCCAATAAATTGTTTTAAAAAGTGAACAAAACTTAAAATAATAAGTTCCTCCCACGGTTTTTAACCTAAGGGCTCTTTCCCTTTCCTCCCCCCCCCCTTTCTCTGTTTTTGTCCTTATAACAGTACCTACTGCAGTAAATATTATATGAGCTTTCCTTAATTAAATTTGCTAAGCAATCAGTCTCTGTGCAATAAGCAAACTTATGGGATAGATGTGACTTCCTAAAATATTAACTCTGCATTTAATAGGATTCCACATAGCCATTCAGCCATTTGATAGTGGTAAAATGCCAAAGGCATGTCAAACTCAGGCTGATGTATCCAGTCAAAAGCTATAAATGATAAGATAAACATTTTTAAAGATGTGCATTTTAAAAGTATACAATATACAATTAGGACACCTAAATTGAAGGTAACAATGTGTCTACAGATCATAGTATATAATAATAACAACAACAATAATAACAATAATAATAATATATAATGCAATAATAATCTTTGTAAAAAAGCACCAAGCTGCTTTTAAAACCACAGACTGGCCAGGCTGCTGGTTTAGGAAGGAAAAGTCTTCTCTGGAGATTGTTACAAATATACAGAATGAATGAAAAGCACATGTGTGTTCATATAGATTATAGAATCATATGACATGAAAGCGTTGCAAATGTTTCTTCCCTTAGCAGGATTCACAGCCTCATGTTTTTGGTCAACAAAGAACCCCCCCCCTTGCCCACCCATCCCCTGATAATAGATTAGACTGCATCAGCTTTTGCCATCCTGTGAACCCTCCAGGTGTGATGGGTTTCTTTTCAACTCCAACAAGGCCCACGCAGCAATGCCAATTTACGGGAACAGAAGTCCGATTTATAAGGGACCCACACCTTGGAGAAGGCCCATCCAGGCAACCAAAAAAGAAGCAGCAACTGGGTGGTTTGGTGGATGACTTCACTGGTGGAATGAGCCTGACTTGCAGCTCTCTTCCTAAGCTGCAGTCCAGGGTAAACATGACTTTGCATATGCAAAGGGTTTAAGAGCTGGATTCTGAAGCCATCTCTTCCAGAGCAAACGCAACCCTCTTTTCCTTCTTTGCATCCCCACAACCCCAATAACTCTCCCATCTTGTCCAGAACTGCGCATTTCCTGCAAGGGCTCTTTGCAGAAAGACAGGCAAGATCTGGACTTGGGGGGGGGGGAAAGAAGGGGTTGCATTGCTTGCCTCCTGGATCCAGTGCATCTCCTCTTGCACCCGAGTGGGCCATCCCACGACAGCTGCGTGCTTTCTCCACGGAAACGCTCTTTTTCGCCCTCCGTCCCCCACCCCCACGTCCCGTTCCCGCCGCCGAGAGCCTCCTCACCTGCGGCTCCACTAGCCACCTCTCCTCCTTCTCCTCCTCCTCCACCTCCTGCCCGGCGGGGGCTGCCCCCTCGGTGTACCGGAACGCGGCGAAAAGCGGGATCTTCTCCCGCGTGCTGTAGAGAGTGGCGAAGCGCGGCTCCCCGCGGTACTTCTGGCAGATCTTGGCCACCTGCTCGGCCGGGAAGCCCGCGGGGGGAGCCTGCTGGTAGAAGAAGACGTCGCATTCGGCGAAGCCCGCCTGGTCGTCGCCCACCACTCGGCCTTGGGTCGAGGCGGCCAAGGCCAGCAGGGCCAGCAGACACGCGGGGAAGGCGGCTCTCATCTCGGCGCCGGTCCCGGGGTCGGCGAAGACGCTGGGATCCTTCCCCGAAAGGAGGAAAACGGCCGCGCGCTGAGGCGTACAGAGAGAGAGAGAGAGAGAAAGAGAGGGAGACGCTCCCGCGAAGAGAGTCCCGCGAACCTGGCCGGCGGCTGCGGAGCTTGTGAGCCTTGGAGCCTCTGGGCGGGCCGTGATATAGCAAAGGGGCGCCCGCTGCCAGCCGCTGCGCCTCCTCCAGTCCGAGCGCGCGCGCGCGGCGTCGCCTGCACGTGAGGAAGGGGGCTGACTCACGGGCGGGACGGCGCTCTGCACGCGCTCCGCGGCCTCGCACTCCCCCTGGCGAACACCCCCCCTCCTTTTTTTCTTTCCTTCCCCTCTCCCTCTCTCCTTCTCTCTCTTTCTCTCTCTCTCTCTCTCCCGTCCGCGCTTTTCTTCCTGTCTGCTCTACGTCACGGGGCAGCCTGACTTTTGGCTCCTGGCCATCACTGGTCGTCAGAACGGGAGGAGGAGGAAGGAGAGAGAGAGAGAGAGAGAGAAGGCGGGGAATGCTGCAATGCGGTCGGGATCCCCAGACGGGAGAGATTTTTAGTTTTTTTTTTCCTTTTTCTGAGGAGTCGGCAAATCAACGCTCCCTGCGGCGCAGCGACCGCGGGCAACGAATGTGCGGCGGCGCTGCGGCTCCCCGACCAGCCCAAGGGAATCCGTGCCCGCTTTCACACAACCGGCCGTTGGTCCTTGACTGCCTGGGTTTAACTTTTGCCCTGATCGGTGCGGTCGGTTTGCATGCTTGAAGAATCTTCACGCGTTCAGCCTTCGAATTTCAGACGGAACATGTGTGGCCCAAGCCCTGTGGTCTGTAAGACCCGGCTGATGGTGGAGGATGTGGCTGGAGTGGAAGCCAGCCAGTTGTATTTTGTGATTAATCGTGGTTAAGTAAAACATGATTTAGCATGCCACGGAAACCTTAAAACAGAAGGAGTTAAGACAGTTGGGATCTGTGGATCTTTGAAGGATTTTGTCACAAGGATCCTGGAACATAAAGCCTTAAATTCACAAGAAACTTTGACGACAGAGTCCTCCGGATTCCTAAAAATAATCCACAGGCAGAAACAGAGGCAATAAGGGTCTTGGCAGAGAAGGGTCATCATCAGTGTATGTCTATGACAGTGGTTCTCAACCTTTTTAATGCCGCGACCCCCAATCGGTTGTAAGTCGAGGACTACTCAACCGGTCGTAAGTCAAGGACTACTCAACTGGTGCAGCACCGTTTGCAGAATGGGGCTTTTGGCAGGCTCAGCAGGGCAGAGACAGCCTGGACAATTCCTATTGGCTTTTGAAAGCCAATAAAATTAGACTATTCAAGAGAATCTATTCTATTGGCTTTCAAAAGCCAATAGAATAAAAGGGAGTAGCACAGCTAAGGAAAAGGGGAAAAAAATGGCGGACTGCGTTGTTTGGCGACCCCCGTGAAATGGTCGTTCAACTCCAAATGGGGTCCCAACCCACAGGTTGAGAACCACTGGTCTATGGGGATTCTCAGTCCTCCAGGTCATTGTTATCCCAAAGATGCTTTTTTTCAACTGGACTTTCTTGTTTTTTCTTTGAAGATGTTTCACTTCTCATCCAAGAAGCTTCTTCAGCTCTTCCATTCCCCGCCATCCAGTCAGAGCTGAAGAAGCTTCTTGGATGAGAAGCGAAACATTTTCAAAGAAAAAACAAGAAAGTCCAGTTGCCTCACAGAAAAAGCATCTTTGGGACAGCCATCTGTATGTTCTTCTGTAGAACTTCTACATTGGGCACCATTAGTACCTACAGGTAATCTATGCTTAATGACCCTAATTGGAACCAGCAACTCCGTCCTAAATGAAGGAGTTGATAAGCAAAACATCACATAACCACCCCACAATGACAGCAGTCTTTAAGTAAATCTTCTGAGGTTGTTAAGCATGACATCGTGTGACTATAACTTGTGACCTCCTGCTGGCTTCCCCATTGACTTTCCTTGCCGGAAACCAGCCGAGAAGGTTGCAACCATGGGACTTTGTGACCATCATAAATGTGACCGTTGCCAAGTACTGAATTGTGATCCCATGACTGCAGGGATGCTCCAACAGTCGTAAGTGTAAGGATTGGTTGAAAGTCACTTTTTCCAGCATCATTATAACTTAGCTGCCAAACAAATGGTTGTTAAGTGAGAACTAAATTGAAAATAAAACCCCCTATTGCAGTGATGACCAGACTTTTAGAGACCGAGTGCCCAAAAACTGGCCCCACCCCTGCTCCATCCCCTGCCCCGTCCTGGCTCCACCCCCCATCCCGCCTGCCCGCAGGGCTACTCACTGCCTCCAGGGCCCGCCACAGATCACCCAGGCAGCCCAGCAGCACTATGGCGGTCACGCCCTGTGCTCGCACCCTGCAGCATTAGCTGTGCACAATGGGGTGTGAGGGCAGAGTCTTGTCTATGCTGCCTGGCTGCCATGTCCTTGGCTGCGCTGCTCCACATGGGCCACGCTTAGGGTTGACTCTCCTTCAGGGGGGCTGCTGGAGAGGAGGGGGTCACAGAGGGAGGCAAGGCTGGGTCAATGGCACGTGTGCCCACAGAGAGGGCTCCAAGTGCCGCCTCTGGCACCCGTGCCATAGGTTTGCCACCAGTGACCTATTGTATGTCTTAATACAGCCTTTCCAAAACTGAAATTCTTGAGATCCTTAAGACTTCATCTCCTATTATCCTCAGCCAGAATAGCCAATGGCAGTATCTTGGAGAAGGCAATTGTGAAACTTTCGTGAACTGTAATAGTGGAACCACCCTGGAGTTCGTTGTGCAGTTTGATAGATCTGCTTTAAAGAACTGGAAAAAAAATGCAGGAAAGAGTAGCCCAAATTATCTGTCATTCGAGTTGAAGGAAAGTACAGCATTTGGAGTTTTAGCTTAGAAAGCAAAAAACCGGGGTTGACAGAATTGATTAAATGATGCATAGTGAGGAGTTGGTTGATGTTTGGACAGAGATCATTCTTAGAAGCTCATCCTTCTTTCTTATCCTTGAAGAAAAATGGATTTTTTTTTAAGAAATAGCATAATGACTATCACCAGCCTAGATGGCTTTCGAAGGCAACCAGACAGATTTGTGGAAGATTATTAACGCTTCCAGTTTGTGCCACCATGAAGAATGGGAGATGAGTTAGATTGATGTTGTAAATCATCTTCCAGTGATTCTAAATCAAGGAAAGAAATATATCTAAGATCAGTTTATACAATGCTTTTATTGCACTGAAAACAAAATACTTAGAATGCACTAAAAGCAAAGTATTTTGTGCATGAGTTCAAAATATACATCTGTTTATAACCTTATCATAGCAGGTGCCGGTGAAAAGAAATACTTAATAGAATTAATTAAATGGTGCCTGATGGAGCCAGGTCAGGTCAGGCACATGTGTCCAGTGCTTAGAATGTCATAACTCAGTGACTTGTGTCCTGATGACTCGGCCTAGCAGTGTGATCTCCATTAAACAGCTGTTGTGTTTGACCTAACATCAAATGATTCTTGATCCTTATCGGCAGCTTCCCTTTTATTTCGTCATTTTGTGTTCGCACCACTAAGAAACATGCATGAGTGCAACGTCTCACTGATAAGCTTCATCAGCAATGTCACCACTACCAAAAAGAGCACATCTTTTGCTAATTTCTAATTCTCTGTGTCAAAGAATGTCAGGCTCAAACTCAGAAATAACATGATTATTTTTCCAAGCTAAGCCTTTTATCTCTAAATGGTATAGGTTGAACTAGAACAGTGTTTCTCAACCTTGACAATTTTAAGGCATGTGGACTTCAACTCCCAGAATTCCACAGCCAGCATTGCTGGCTGTGGAATTCTGGGAGTTGAAGTCCACATGCCTTAAAATTGTTAAGGTTGAGAAACACTGGACTAGAAGATCTCCAAGATCTCTTCCAACTCTGTTATTCTGTTACCTATACAATACACAAAATCTTACCAGACTGAGCGTTTTACTATCTGCATCTATAATATACTCTGAGAACTGTTAGGGAGAGTATGTCTTCATCTTCTTTCTCTCACACATATCTGGACTAGTTGCCTCTTATACCGCACTTGCTGCAGCCAACTCACCACGGCCATCTTGCCACAGCCAGCTTTCCATGGCCAACTCACTGTGGGACAATTCACCATGGGACAAGAGTTACACTAAAAAGAAATGGTGGAATAGAATCACTAAAGAAAGGATGCCAAAGGAGAGACAAAATGAAATGTGAAGGACAAAAACTAGAATAATGCTTTATTTTAAATAATTAAATTGAATTGTTGAATTGTCCTGTGACAATATGGCCATGGCGAGTTGTCCCATTCCACTTCATTGGAATCTAGCTCCTTACTACATTTCATCACCAGAAGGACATGTAATTTTGATTATGCACCTACATCATTTGCTAATCCCATCATATATGGTTTCCAAGCAACCAGTGCAACATCATTATTAAGAATCACGTGAGAAATTAAGTATGGAGGTCATTTCAGCTTCCATCTTTATCTTTACAGCCAATTACAAGGCCTGGAGCTTATAATAATTTTGTGGCAGGTAGAAATTCAAAATATGAGTTGTCGTGACTCATTTCTTTTTTTTTCTCCTGTGCTAGAGAAATGGAGCATATGTGAGAATTGTGAGATACCGTGATTGTCTAAAACAGATCAGTTATAAATATTCAGCAAACATGGTAAAAGTGCTTCTGGATTGTGGTGGGCAGGTTGGAGGATAGGATCCAGCTGTTTCCTCTTAAGAATTTCTGGCAATAGAGGCAACCCAGAGGCAGTTTGCTGGAGTGGTTAAGGTGCTGGCCTGGAAACTAGGAGTCTGTGAGTTCTAGTCCTGCCTTGTATATGATAGCCAGCTGGCTGGCCTTAGGCCAGTCACTCTCAACCCAACTAACCTCACAGGATTGTTGTTGTGGGGAAAATAGGAGACAGAAAGAATATTAGGCATGTTCACCACTTTGAGTTACTTAAAAAGTAATAAAGGTGGGATAAATAATAAATAAATGAACAATAATAACTCAAGTTTGAGTCCATTTTATGACTGGGTTGTCTGGGATTCAGGGATTAATAACTAAGGTAAGAATCAAGTTTTCTGCAGATATTTCAAGCTTTGAACTTACATAGGATAAATCATCTGCTGAAAACCTGATGAGTAGCTTGGAATTAGGGCTTCAAAGTCTTAAAATCAAGATAAAATCAGCTCCATGCATTCATAAAAAATAAGGGCCACGTGAGGTATTTACAGAAGAGCTTCAAGTCATCCTAGAGTTGTCTGTGGAGATTCCCAGTCATCCAGGTCATGGTTGTCCCAAAGAGGCAAGTGGACTTTCTTGTTTTTCCTTGAAGAGGTTTCGCTTCTCATCCAAGATGTTTGGATGTCAG